TATTGATTGACACAATGAGCAAAGAAAATAAAAAAAATTCATTTACTGGACCTCCAATCTTAAAATCCCATTCTGTTACTTGAATTAGATGCCTCCAGCCACTGATTTATCTGAGCAGCTAGTTCAGTTCTTCATTGGGAATTCAGTCTCTTCTCCTAGTTCTCCTTTGGGGACATATTTCAGGTTTACTAAATTCAGGTGTGTAACAGTAACAGACTTCGAAGGGACCTTGGAGGTAATCTAGTCCAACCCCCTGCTCATGCAGGAGACCTGTACTAGGGATTCGAACCGCCGAACTGCCGACCTTTCTGATTGACAAGCTCAGTGTCTTAGCCACTGAGCCATCTAGTGTATTTGCAGTTCACTTACTATGATGTTGCCACACCCTGCATGAAGTCCTCAACCAACTTTCAGTATCTACATCCCTCTTCATTCAACCTTTCTGTAAACTGCTGTTTCTTATTTAGCTACTTTGCATATAAAGAAATCCATAATAAATCCATAATAAATAAAAAAAAAGTTTTATTATTTTTCTGTCGTGATGATCCATACGTAGATGCACCATGAACTTGTTGTGACAAACCATGCTATTCTTATTAGCTTATGTTGATGTCCAATTTAATTGGACCCTAGTTTATTGGAGTCTCATTATTGGAAGATTGCAACTCAATGTTCCAGGGAGTTTTAGTCATTCCCTTTAAGTCTCTGTAAACTGACATCTATTCTGACTTTTATTTTCTGTCCTAATGGTGGTGGTTGCCATTACCACCACAATACAATGAGTTTTATTTGATACCTGACCTTCTGAAACAGCTTTTTACACTCTTTAATCATGGTTTTCACCAATTTATTCAGATGCGATGTAAATCAAGTGAATCTGACATTATCTAGAGCAGGGGTATCAAACTGGCAGCCCACAGGCCAGCTGCGTCATGTGCAGGCTATGCCCATCCCAGCTCCGTGAAGGGGAAAAAATATTGCAATAAGTCACGTGACAGCAACATGACACAGCGAGTTTGACACCTGTGATCTAGAGTCACATCGAACCTTTAAAAAAACAACAACCCTGAAGTTACATTAGCCACTTTCAGTTTCCACCACTGAAATGACTTTGCATGAGGTCATCAAATCAGGGGTGAAATGCTCCCGGATCAGGCCAGATCGTCTGGTCTGGTAGCGATCTTGGCCGGTGGTTCGGCGATCCAGTAGCGATGGCGGAGCAAAGCTCCACCCACCCACCCGGGTGTCATTATTTCCTGGTTTTAACCAGGAAGTAATGTGTTTTTTACCTTCTGCACATGTGCAGAAGGTCTGTGCATGCACAGGTCTGTGCACATGATGTGTGGCAAGTGCGCTTCCAAACTGGTAAGGAAGGTAAGTAGATTTCACCCTGCATCAAATCCATATTTATTTTTAAACACCTCAGAATTAGATGGCAACCATCTGAATTTGATCATCTGGTTACTTTCAATATGTTAATAAAGTGTAAAGTTATAGAACCTGAAACCTCCAAGTATTTTGGAGTACAATTTCCAAAAATGCTAGGCAATGGTTAACCACAATGGATTCATTTCCTGTTTTTAGTCTTACATATATTTATTCCTTTTCTTCAAGTTCCATTTGTTTAAAAAAAATAAAAAATAAAATAAATTGTGACCTGAGGAGATAATTAGCACAAGATGTTTGAACTGTTTTTGATACTGTATTATAGAGGCTAAGGGTGTGCCTGAATTTTATCATACTTTCTGATGTTTGTTAGATATCTTTTACACATAGAGCACTTTAGGGAGCAATCCTGCCATTACTTTTTGCAAACTGCAAAACCCAAGGTTTTCCCATGGGAGAAGCCTTCAGCAGATCCTCCCAAGAGAATCTTCAAGATCCTAAAGAAGAACATACTGCCACATGAAAGGAAAACAGGCAAGAGTGATAAAAATGAACAAACTGGAAAGATTTAAACTGAAAACATTTCAGCACCTAGCTTTCATTGATCTGTTAGTAAAGGCATCAGCAATGCATCCATGTTCTCTGGATATTTTGCCAGACATATATATATATATTTTCCAGGAAGCAGCTGCTCAATATATCATTTCTTATGTAGTATATAAATCAAACTTTTCCAAATGAGATCATGAATTTATCTAGGCAATGTTACTTACACTGATTGACAGGAGGAGTCTATCATACTTCTGAAAGGACACCAGAGATTTTATTAATACTGATGCTAGCAATTATTATATCCTCATATGAATAGTTAACTACCAAACTATTATTTCTTTTCTATAATGAGAATAGGCAATCATGGGATAAAACCTCAGTCGCTCTGTGGTTGATGGATGATCTCTAAATTTGATATATAAATAAAGAAATGAAATGCAGTGCTCCTGTGAATTTAGAAAGTTTTGCTGAGGTCTGTGAACACAGCCAATTTTAATCCATAACGTAATTTTAATCCCACAGGATTAAAATCCAAACAGGATTTATTTTAAAAAAAATAGCACTTTATACAAGAGAAGGGAGCAGAAATGTGTTCATAACAAACGAGATATAGAATCGGAGGATACCATTGGAGAAGAATGTCAAGAGATTTTCAGAATATGAGGCTTTGCCCAAATGCATCTGAGCTGGTAATCTAATTTGAATGTAAATGAAAACACAGTGTTCCATACTGCAGAATGCAGAAACAGAACCAGTATGTACATGAACTCAAAAATGTTATTTGTTCCTTCAAACTAATTTGCTTGTAACTCCACACTTATTTTGAGGCAAGGTCTCCTTAACTGGATGAAAACTTATTTTCAGGATGGACATTTCATCAACAAGTAAGTAGTTTTCTGGATAACAACTTAGAATAGAATAGAATAACAGAATTGGAAGGGACCTTGGAGGTCTTCTAGTCCAACCCTCTGCTTAGGCAGGAAATCTTACACCACTTCAGACAAATGGTTATTCAACATCTTCTTAAAAACTTCCAGTGTTGGAGCATTCACAACTTCTGGAGGCAAGTTGTTCCACTGATTAATTATTCTAACTGTCAGGAATTTTTTCCTTAGTTCTAAGTTGCTTCTCTCTTTGATTAGTTTCCACCCGTTGCTTCTTGTTCTACCCTCAGGTGCTTTGGAGAATAGCTTGACTCTCTCTTCTTTGTGGCAGCCCCTGAGATATTGGAACACTGCTATCATGCCTCCCCAGGCCCCTAATCATCTTTGTTGCTCTTCTCTGAACTCTTTCTAGAGTCTCCACATCTTTTTTTACATCGTGGTGACCAAAACTGAATGCAGTATACCAAGTGTGGCCTTACCAAGGCCTTTATAAAGTGGTATTAACACTTCATGTGATCTTGATTCTATCCCTCTGTTTATGCAGCCTAGAACTGTGTTGGCTTTTTTGGCAGCTGCTGCACATTGCTGGCTCATATTTAAATGGTTGTCCACTAGGACTTTTATGTTCTGAACTTGCTGAAAATTTCATGGAGTCCTTTTATTATCAAGAGTTGCAAAATTGATATTTGTGTGTGCAGACCAGGGATGTCATCCAGCAGGTTCTGACAGGTTCTGCAGAACCAGTAGCGGAAATTTTGAGTAGTTTGGAGAACAGGCAAATACCACCTCTGGCTGGCCCCAGAGTGGGGTGGGAATGGAGATTTCGCAATATCTTTCCCCCAGGAGTGGGATGGGAATGGAGATTTTGCAGTATCCTTCCCCTGCCACACCCACCAAGCCACACCATGACCACCAAAGCACGCCCACCGAACCGGTAGTAGAACAAAATTTGGATTTCACCCCTGGTGCAGACTATCCCATGGGTCTTTCCAACCCAAGCACCTCTTGGTCAGGACACCAGTGCGATATGCTTAATCCCATAAACCAGGTTCTGAAATAAGGAAATGATTATTAAAGTAAGAGATTTACTGAATCCGGTTGGCCTACATCAAGGTAGATTTCCTGTTGATGGTTGAGGGCTGTACTTTTAAATATTTTTTTTTCATGGTCAAAGTCTGCAATGGAGAATAGGACAATAGAATAGTATTCTGCCTTTGTTGTTGTTCATTGCTGTTGTTGTATTTAAACTGTTATGATGGTTTGCACATGATTTTCATTTATTTCTTTCTGAAAATTAGGTGGGAAACATACCGCTATTTTTCAGCACTGTATTTTCCAAGAATTTGGTGTGTCCCCCAAATGGAATTACATAAGATGCAAGTTACCCATATTGATCTATACCACGGGTGTCAAATCCGATCGCGTCATGTAACATATTTTAATGTATTGTGACATTTTTTGCCTTTGCGGAGCCAGGGTGTGCATTGCCTGAGCGTGATGCATCCGGCCTGCAGGCCGCCAGTTTGATACTCCTGATCTATACCAATAAATAAATAGAGTCAGTTTGGTCTAGTGGTTAAGGCACCAGGTTAGAAACCAGGAGACTGTGAGTTCTAGTCCTGCCTTAGGTATGAAAGCTGGCTAGGTGACTTTGGGCCAATCACACTCTCTCACCTCCCCTTACAGGGTTGCCATTACAGGGGGAAAAGGAGGAGGAAGGAGTATTTAGGTATATTCACTGCCTTGATTTATTTATAAAATAATAAAAACAGGATATAAATAAATAAATAAATAAAATATATTTCCCATTAGGACATATCTTTTTCAATTTTTTGGGTTACCACTGGTGTGTAGTCTTCTCTGAGGTTCCCACTGAACCTTAACAAATATGTTGAAACAGAAGAAAAATACTCCACTATTTTCCAATATGTGGATAATGCAGAGAATGCCCCATAGGGTTTTGAAATAGTCACTTTTATTCTATTTGTACGAAAAAGCAGTTTTTTATGTTCCTGTAAGAGAAAACTGAGAGGGAAGGCATAAAGAATGTTCCATTAAAACATAACAGTTTAGATTAAAAAGATACACTGAGAAACAAATATTAGGATAGGAGCGTGGGGAAAAGGGAGGGAACAACGTTGAGATTCAAAATCACTCCCATTGTCAAATCTTCCTTGTTTTCTGACCTCATTCCAACTGGACTTGACTTCTGCTTCTGCTTATGTTAACTATATTTATGGATCCAAAGAATATAGTTTCCATAGCAACTTTTTCCCAGGTTTTGAGCAAATATCATCTTTGAATGTGCTCTTCCTTTAATTTCTTCTGTTCTCTCTTTTTTTCCCCTCCTTTAGTTTTCTAGGGGAAGAAAAGTGGATTCGTATTTTGTGGTTATTCAATTAACCTCATGAGGGATTTAGATGCTGTTTATAAATAGTAGGCTTCAAAGTAAAATCCCGAGTTCCGCAGGAACATTTATTCTATTGTAAATGAGAAATAAACCTTGAAAAATCTACAAGAACTCTGCAGAGGTGTATTTCTTGAGCCAAATAATGACCACCCAACCTGCCGTATATTTCTGCGAGCTTCTTTAATCACATTAGAACATTAGAATGTTGGTAGTGAATGTTAATGAGTAAATTCTGTATGTATTTCCATTAGGATTTGCTTAGTTCAAGTTATAACCAAAATAGATCTTATGACAATGCATTGTTCCAAAAACCTTAATTCTAAAATCAAAGATCTTCACTCTTTTGTAACATTGTTTTTTAACTTTTCTACACTAACTCAGAATTAATTTACCTGAGTGTGAAACTGTAGTTTTATAAAATGCATAAAAAAATAGGAATGATGTAATAGAAAAATTTCATCGAACTGAAATCCTGTATGTACATTGTAATTCTTAATTTAGAAACCTGTTAGTCTAATGCAATTCTAGCTTTTATCAATAAATCTAGAGATCAGCTGAACATTTTATGACATAAACCTTGTTCAACCTTTCTGGATTGAGGTAGAATGAGCATGTAAAGGGAGAGAGTAAAGATAAGTTGGAGGTTTTGGTGGTTTTCATTGCCATCCCACCTCTTGAGAGTGAATGTCTACAGCAAAGTTGTTCTTTTGTCCTTCCTGCCATAGACTCTGACATGAGAGTGAAAATCCTGAAAGTAAGAGCTATAAATTGCACAAAAGGCTTCCTGAAATAGTCCAACCTTCCACTTGCAGAATTTTGCCCCCCAATGCAGGAAGAATGGCTGAAAAGGCAACAACATTGAGTAGAACCAGTTTGCTAGTTTTGACTCTTCCTTCTTTCAGCTTCTTCTTTCCTAAAGGAGAATTCCTGAATAGGGTTCTTATTCCATCCACATTGCTCAGGATGCTGGAGAAGATGATCTGGTGATCATTTTCAAGCATTGGCTGAAGTTGCCCTTGCCAAGTTAACGGGCAGATGGGAACCCAATTAAGTTTAAAATGTGTACATGAATCCAAGTGGTGCCATGAATTCTCAGCTCCAAAAATGAATGAATATGGAGGAAATATGTATATTAGCAGAAATGTATACAAGTAAAAATATTTTAGGAAATGTTCACATACATTTTAATAGAAAGGTGCTCATTTTTAAGTTTAAGCTTCCTTTTTTAAAGTAATTGTATAGAATAGACATGAGTCTAACTCGATGCCAAACTCATTAGGGTCAGAAATCGACTGAACTCTTCAGTCACCTACATTCTTATGATTGATCAAGGTAGAATTATTATATAGAAGAATCATTTGAATGATTCATCTCAATCATCTCAATATAGATTAATATTTTATTATTCATCAAATACATTTATTTTTATTTTAGTTATTTCTAAAAGTTCTAGAAATGTTAGTTTCAGTTTAGTTTAGTTATTTTTAGAAATTTCTATTTCCATAGCTGCCCATCTCAGTCAATAACTCTGGGCAGCTTACAATTCTAAAAATATGTAACAGTTAAAAATATTAAAAGCATTTTAAAATAATAAACACACACACACACGCACGCACAGTATTTTGATCCTTGCTTACAAGGATGGGATCCTATTCAAAGTTATGTTTAAATACATTCACTTAAAAGAAGAGAACCTATGTCTAAGTAAATATGTTTAGGGGTTATGTGCAATTTTCCCTCTGCTGTTATATGCATACCATAGAAAGTGACCAAGTATTTATGTGTCATACAGTTATAAAATACCCTGATCTCAAATTCATGAAGCACATCATGAGGCAATAAATAATTGTGGCTGCATTACCTCAAAAGATGAAAATAATTTTTTACCAAGCCATCTGTCTACCTATCTATACATATTTTTTTTGAGTTAATGTTTTATCTATTTCACCACTGAGGGAATGGAAGCATGATTAGATACACTTTCCCTGGAGTGATTTATCCAGATGTGTGTAGATACTGGATTAAATATTGGAGGTTCCTTATGTTCCTTATATAATAGATTTCCTACCTGAATAGCCTTTCATTTTCCACTGACTTATTTTAATTCTACCACAGTGTTTGGTTCCCATCTCCTAAAAATGAATTTCATTTTTATTTACATCTAATCTTCACTATGCCCATTGCATTAAAAAAAAAAGTCAATAGTGCTAGAGTTGCTGTGTGATGCATCAAAGACGATAAGTTTTGCTGTTGCTAGGTTGCTGTAATCCCTGGTAAATCTGAATTTATTAGCACAATAGAGAATACATTAAAATATATAGCTGGTTTTTGACCTAGACCCCTTGTTAGTTTACTGGATATTCCTTATAATCATTTGTTTAACAGAAGTGTCAAGAAAAGTTTGAGTGGATCATACCACCAGAATTTAGTCTGAGCCTATTGGAAAATAATTGTCTTGTTTACTGGTTATATGCCATCAAGTTGATGTTGATCCTTAGCATCTGTATCTGTAGCCGGGCTATTCATGTCCCTCAACAGTGCTGAATAGTGCCATAGCTAATATAATATAATAATACATACATATATATATATTGCTCCTGGAAGTACGAAGCTGAGAACACCAGCCTGAAGATGACGAATGAGACTTCGTCGAAACATCGCCAAGACACTTCCAATTTTACGTGGGAGAAGACCCGAAAAACCAAAGACATATATATATGTTTTCTCAGGTTTTCGCGGGTGTTTGTATGTAGGTCTTTGGTTATTCGGGTCTTCTCCCACGTAAAATTGGAAGTGTCTTGGCGACGTTTCGACGAAGTCTCATTCGTCATCTTCAGGCTGGTGTTCTCGGCTTCATGCTTCCAGGAGCAATGTGAGATCGCAGCTGTCTCTTCCTTTTAACTGCTAGTGGGGATGTGAGCTGATTGGGTGGGAGGTGTGTTCTGATTGGTTAGGGGTTGGCTGTGCTCTGGGCTTGGCTGTGCTCTGATTGGATGGGGGGTTGGTTGTGCTCTGATTGGATGGGGGTGTGTTCTGTTTGGGTGGGGGCTTGGTTGTGCTCAGCTTAGTCTGAGTTGCAGGGGGATTTGAGCTGGTGAGCTGCGTTGTTGTTGTTTGACCACAAACACGAAGCCAAACAACAACGCAGCTCACCAGCTCAAATCCCCCTGCAACTCAGACTAAGCTGAGCACAACCAAGCCCCCACCCAAATAGAGCACAGCCAAGCCCCTAACCAATCAGAACACACCTCCACCCAATCAGAACACAGCCAAGCTCCCACCCACACCCCCACTAGCAGTTAAAAGGAAGAGACAGCTGCGATCTCACATTGCTCCTGGAAGCACGAAGCCGAGAACACCAGCCTGAAGATGACGAATGAGACTTCGTTGAAACGTCGCCAAGACACTTCCAATTTTACATGGGAGAAGACCCTAATAACCAAAGACATATATATATATATATATATTATATATATATATATATATATATATATATGTGTGTGTGTGTGTGTGTGTGTGTGTGTGTGTGTGTGTGTGTGTGTGTGCGCGTATGTGTATGCATATGTATATGTATATGTCAAGAACGTATTAGGTAATCTATATAATTATAAGCATGAATTGAATACAGAAAATAGATACAAGTAGAGGAAACATTAGGACAGGGACGGTAGGCACGCTGGTGCGCTTATGCATGCCCCTCACAGACCTCTTATGAATGGGGTGCATAATGCATTCAAAATATATTAATTTGAGATTGGTCATTTTTGCCTCAAGGCAGGACTCTAAATTGATTTGTTCCGTGATTCACATTTATTCTCTTTTCTATCCATTGTATTCTCAAGAGTCTTCTTGAACAGCAACTTCAAAAACCTTAGTTCTTTCTTTATCCTGTTTCTTCAAAGTCCAACTTTCAGTTCCATAGAAGTCACAGAGTACACTGAGAAGATAATTCTGATTTGGATAGGTATATAGACACCATGGCATTTGGATATTTTTTTCAAAGCCTTCACCATTATCCTACCAAATGTTAGTCTGAAACGTATTTCTTGACCACTGGTTCCTTTATTATTAATTGTTAATCCTAAAAGAAGAGAGTATGGACCACTTCAGTATATTCATTGTCAATTCTAAGGCTGGTCACAGTATCTGTTATTATTAGTTTGGTCTTTTTCCCCCCAATAATCTTAGTCTCATTTTCCCCACTATGCTCCTTGACTTTCATTTCTATAATGGGCAGATCATTAATATTTTCAACTATCAGTGTTATGCTATTAGCATAATGCGAATCATTTGCTTCTTTCTCAATTTTAAAACCATGCTCATTTTCTTCTAATTTTGCCTCTTTCAATAGATAGTCAGCATATAGTTTGAATAAATAAGAAGAGTTTGAATAAATAACAAGAGAACAGGCAATATCTTATTCCTCTGTCAACATGGAGTCAATCTATTTAGCTGTGATTTGTTGAGACAATGCTTCTTATCCATGTATAAACCAGATTGAATATCTGGCATTTCCCTTTCCATACAGGGTTACCATCTGGTTGGGTAATCCTGATCATTATTTTGTTAGCATGTGAAATTAAGGATATTGTGTGACATTTTGTATGCTCTTCATAATCCATTAGTATTGGTATATAGGCTGACTTCTTCCAAACTATTATTGTTTTTCAGATTTAATGGCATAGTTTGGTTAAAAACTTCATTATTATTGTACTGTCATTCATCATATTTCTCTAAATATTCCATAACTTCCTGTAGCCGTCCATCTAGGTAATGAGTGGGATGCTCATCAAACAGCATTTTTTAGTTTTTGTAAATAGGGAATATCTTCTAAGACATCTTGGATGTTGACATTTCTACTGTATAGAATCTCAGCATACTCTTGCCATCACTGTTTGATATTCTTTGAACCTGTTATTATCTGCTAATTGGAGTCCTTTAGCATAGCAATTTGAAATTGGAACCTCCAGAGATGTTTTGGAAAGCTTTCCTTATTTATTTATTTTTCATGACTGCTTTCATCTTTGATGTCTTTACAGATGTTGTTATACTGCTTCTTGTCTTTTCTAAGATTCTAGGAAGAGAACTGCATTAGTCTATGAAGACAAAAAATGGAAACATCTGATGAAGTAAACAGTAGCTCACAAAAAAGTATGCCTTTTAATTAAAAGTTGTTAGTTGGAAAAGGTGATACGGGATTCCTGATTTATTTTTTTTTAGTGGGTCTCTAAAATTCTTTGTAAACTTTCTTCTGGAGATCTTTATCTTCCTTTATTTTGGCTTCTTTTCTGAATATCTATTTTGATATCCAGTTTACTTTGCTTCCTTTCCCCGCCCACCCCCCAGTCTTTAGCAATCTCTTTTTCACATTCTTAATAATGCTTTGATTTTCCCATCCCATGTCCTCTGGTCCCTTATTTGTGAAGTTAAGGGGTGAGTAAACTGATTCATCTAGCCTTCTAATTATAAGACTATTGTTGAATAAGGCTAATTTCCACATTATATAATGCAGACTTTTTAAAAAATACTTGGCAGAGCTTTGACCTAATGAAACAAAGATCATCTGACCCATTTCCAGTCTTATTATATGAATCATTTAGGATGTTCAGTCATAAACCCTGGGGTGTAGGTTAATAAACAAGGATACCATATAAAGTATGGCATGTTATATTTCTAGCATCTATGTTATGTTGTGGTAGAATCATATCATTGCATGACATTTGAATCTCGGCATCTTAGATCTATAACGGTTCAAAGTTCCATCTGAAAAAAATGTAGCGTGTCTTATTAAAGTTATTTTTGTTTCTCTTGAAATTACTCTTATTTTAATATAGGAAAGAACTTTTGGATTCAGCTAAAAATATTGCTTATGCAAATGAATCCTGGAATATAGGACTGTGCAGCTTTGAAGTGCTTCAAAGCTGGCCAATGAGTTTGATAACTGCATTAGATTTGCTGGCTCTCAGAGCTCTTTCACTTGCTCAGCAATCAGTGTCTTTAACATATGTAACACTTTTAACACCTTAATTTTGCTCCTTTTTATGATAACTAACATTCCACTTCTGGCTGATCTTGGTCAAAAAAACTGGGTGCTCGGTTCAATTTTCAGCATTTTCACCACTCCTGTTTCAATTCAGTAATGGAAGGTTTAAATTCCCAGCCATGTGAAGTTGTTTCAAGTTAACACTTACAACTATTGTCCCAAATATTTAGTGATTTTAAGAATAGGATGTAAAAAGGCTATGAATGTCATGCCTACCTCTTTCCCATTGGTCTGCTGGTCTCTGTCACAAAATATCTCATGGAGCTTGTCTGCTTCTTCTATCTAGTAGGCATGTATGAAGTCACACAGATGTGCTTTAACAAAGCAGCTCAGAGTGAGGAGACAACTTCATTTATTTTGCTAAAATGGAGACACAAGCCACTCCACCTCAATAAAACAATTCCACTGGATTCAAATCATTTGAGCCACTGCTGCAGGAGAAGGTCCCTCTCAGACTTGGCTCTCAACTCTGACTGAAATATTTCCATGTTGGGTGGCTCTGGGACTTCAACCTTCATTGATGGCATCCATCTTGGAAGAACTGAAAGCTGAGCAACTTCATAGCCAAAGAATTGGTACTAATTAAGCCAATAAAACACCATCTTGTTTGTTCGTCACATTTTCTGTGCAGTTGTATGAACTACCCTTTTAATTGTTTGCTGGTTTTCTTTTCCATCAACCATGTCTGAGTTCGCTCACCTTGTTCCTAGTAACTAGATCTTTGTTTCTTATGGGAAAAAAAAGATTGATGACTAGCTGTAGCAAATATTTGTTTGTGAGTGTTAGTGACAAGAATTAAGAGAAATTAATGGTATTATCAGACTTGATAGTGAATAAATGCTTACAGTGCCAAAAAAGCCCATCCATTCCAAAACCAACAAAAGTATGGTAGTTGTGTTCTTAATGTTGACAGGATAAAGGATTAGTGTACAAGACTGGTAAGGTTTCTATTCTTCATGTTTCTATTATGGTACAAAGAAGCAGAGAATTATAATGTATACACCAAGAAGGTGGATTGAGAATACTTTCTTTTGAATTTGTGTGCATTATTCTTTAGGAATAGTAGGTTGAAATGTCATGAGTGAGTTGTGAGTGATAGATCCAAACTGAATCTAAGCTGAGAAAGTGTGTCCTTGAAGTCATTGGAGCTAAACTCAGAGTTTCTTCAGAAATAAAAATAGAAATGATAAAAAGTGAAGTTATTTACTGATCAGGCAAAGGCAACAGCAAACTACTTGAGGAAAATCATAAAAAGAAAGGGGGAGAAAAGAAAGAAAAGCCTTCCAGGCATATGAATAAGATGGTACTACATTTCTGTCATTCAGAAGCCCTAAAAAGCATTCAGAAACAACTTAAACTGAGGATTTTCCTTCAAGATAAAATATGCAAGACATTTTAGAAAAAAGCCTAAGCGTTTCAGGACATAATTGACATAATTTTAAACCTAAATGAAGGAAATGCATGAATCAGGTCTATATAAAATGACAGATCTTAATGTGCAGTTTACTTTATGTGGTCCATCTTGTATGTTTAAACAAGCTGGAGAATTTGCAGGTTTTTTTTTTTACAAGTAATGTTCCTCTTTGTGGGTATTACTATACTTTTACTATAACAATATGCTTGCTATTTGATTAAACTTCTGAAATAACACCATTACCATGAATCTATACATTTTCATATTCAGTGTTTGTAAATAAGCAGAATTATATTGTTACACATTTATCAAATATATACTTCATTGTGCAGATTTTGATATGGAGGTTCCTGAACCTAGCAAATTCTTTTTAGATGGTCCCATCTGTTTACTCCAGCCATTTATTTTGAGTTCCCTTTTTGATAAGTTAAACAAGAGTTTCTTTCTCAAGAGAAAATCAGTACTGTTTTAGAACATTAATTCTGAGTACATAGGAGAGCAACCCATCAAATGATGATTGGCCAGATATAGCACTGAACATATTTGTTCAAGGTTATTTTTCCAAATTCTAAAACTAAAGTCTAGTCTTGGAGAGTAGGCAACTGTTTATGGAAATCTTAACCTTCAAAAACAAAAAACCTTCAGAAAATCTCTAAAAGTGGCATGAAGAGGTTAGGTCAGATCCAACTCTCTGTGATAACCCTAAGAGTGTAGGAAAATTTTAGGGCAACTATTTGAGTGATTTGATCTAAATGAAATCCCACTAATTATATGCAAAGGCAGATACCTATTTTCCCTCTCAATGTAACCAAATAAATGGGCAGCTACAAATGCTTCTATTTCCTCCTTCTAGCTCCTCCAAAGCTTCAGTACTTAATGGCTTAGCCCGTGCTTTGATAAGCATTCCCACTAATGGATAAGTTTATTATATTTCCTTTTAAGAAAGTACCCTCTGATAAGGACACATATGGGGCCAATTACATGTTCAATTAATGTCTTGGATTTTTTTTAAAAAGATGTTAAGGTACTTTTGAAAATGCATGAGATAAGGCTAAATAGTTAGTCAGGGACAGAATTACACAGAGAAAACGGGTACTAGTCCTAAAATACATGATTCAAAATGTGAATTTATTATTTACATATCTCAGAATCAATGTGGTAATTTATACTTATATATAAATATAAGCAATAAGTATAAATACTTATAAGTAATACATATATTACATAAAATGGGTTTCAGTAATATTTAATATATCATTTATTTATATTGATATTGATTGTTTCCTGATTGCTTATTTGTACCCTATGACTATCATTAAGTGTTGTACCTTATGATTCTTGATGAACATATCTTTTCTTTTATGTACACTGAGAGCATATGAACCAAAACAAATTCCTTGTGTGTCCAATCACACTTGGCCAATAAAAAATTCTATTCTATTCTGTTCTGTTCTGTTCTGTTCTGTTCTACTCTACTCTACTCTACTCTACTCTACTCTACTCTACTCTACTCTACTCTACTCTACTCTACTCTATTTTCTTAGAAATTATTGCAAACATGTTCCTGGCTATCATGTATCTGCTACAGTCATCATATTCAGTAGATGATCCAAGTTAACCAAATTCAAATTAGAGCTAAGGTTGGGATTATTCTCTGAGGAATCTCCATCAGAAGAAGAGAATGAAGATTGGTTATTTTTCTCTAGAGAACTTGAAACTAGCCAGAAAGTGAAGGACAAAACCAAAGCCTACCTTTTCAAATCCTGCCTATTCTTGAAACAATCTCACCATTCTCAGTCTCTCCACACCAATCTAGTAGAAGAACATACATGCAAAGAATCCTTGGAAGTCAGGATCTTGAACCTTTTTGAACTACTGGCTGTCAGCTGAATATGATGGAATTGTCTGTAATCAAATGTTGGATACAAATGGTAATGGTAAGGTGACCAACTTTTTTACAATGAGAAGGAGGACACAAATAAATTAAAGAAAAAAAATCATAAACTTATAAACATAAGCAAATAAACTTGTAAATAAAATTATACATATTTGGAAATTATTAAATAGATAATGAATGAATAAAACATGAATTATTGTGCTCACCTCTGTATGATTGAATATTCACTGAGAAAGAAGTGAGTCTAATGCATGTGTGTGTGCCATGTCGTATTTCGGAAAGTATTTATTTATTTTATTATTTATTATTCGTATTTCTATGCCGCCCACTCTCCGAGGACTCTGGGCGGCTTACACCAAAGACAGTATACTAAATAGCATATTGCCCCCCAACAATCTGGCTCCCCATTTTACCCACCTCGGAAGGATGGAAGGCTGAGTCAACCTTGAGCTGGTGAGATTTGATCCGCTGATCTGCTGAACTAGCAGTCAGCTGAAGTAGCTGCAGTACTGCACTCTAACCACTGTGCCACCTCGGCTCTTGTAATAAAGCCACTTGTGTGCGGTGCACTCTTGCGTGTGACACACTCTCTCAAAACAATTATCCTGTGCAGAGCGCATGCATCTCATAGTCGCGTCATGTCAAATACAAATACGTCACATCACATGCAACGGATCGGATCAACATCATTCAAATACGGAGATTTACAGATTAGTCTTCAAATATTGAAAATGAGGACATGTAGGATAACACTTTTCAAGAGAGGACAGAACTTACAAAAGAAGGACTGTCCTCCCTAAAGGAGGACGATTGGTCACCTTAGTAATGGTCAGTGGTGGGATTCAAATAATTTAACAACCAGTTCTCTGCCCTAATGACTGGCTGGGTGGGCATGGCCATGGGTGGGCATTGCAAGGGGGTGTGACAGGCAGCACTTGGCCTCCTGCACCCCCCTGGGAGCAAAAATGGGCCACAGGAGGGATGTGCCACCCCTGCACCCCATTTTGGCCTTAGTAGGCCTCCCTGCAGCCTCCTGGGAGTGAAAATGGGCCACAGGGTGTATACCGCCCCCTCACACTCTGTTTTTGGCCTAGGAGGCCTCCCTGAAGCCTCCTGGGAACAAAAAGGGCCTAGGAGGCCTCCCTGTACTTACCTGGGAGCCAAAACAGGGCGTGTGGGGACTCCTGAAGGGGCGGGGCAGAGCCAGCCAGCAATTTAACTATCAGTTCACCTGAACCAGCCCAAACTGGTTGAATCCCACCACTGGTAATGGTGCTTGCTTGTGATTTTATGTACATATCTATGGATTTGCTTACCCTTATTTCTGATCCATGGATTGGATGTTGACTATTCTTGTTGGCTTTTCTTCTTTCTTGTGAATGACATTCTTTCACAAACCTTCACTGGACAGGATACCTTCACAGTGCTGTTAATCTTCAGCATGTGTATATATATATGTAGACATCACGATCTCCGGAACATTTAAAAGTTTAATTTTTTTTATTTTAAAACTTGTGCTAAGCTTTCGTCGGCCCCTACCGACTTAGTCAGAGTATAAAATCCCCATTGAGGAGCTGCTTGCTTTTATGTAATGCTGATCAATTTAGTCATTGCGCGTGTAACAGGCCCCCACCCTTGCGTTCCCCCTGTAATTATCTTATTTTCTGCCTTAGTCATGCTGACAGATGACGATGCACTTTCCCCTGCCTCCTGCCCCATTGTGTGTTGCCTCTTTCTCTCCCTGGGGGGTAACGCAGGGTTATCAGGCATTGCTTTGAAGGTATTTCTCCCAGCTCTCTCCCCCCATTGTTATGCCTTTCCCTTTTAGGCATACACGTTGCCTCCTCTAAACCCATTTGTTTTGCCCATGATCTTGTGATGGGTCTGTGTTGTTCTTCCTTATCCCTCCCCATCTTCCTCATTCTGCTGTTTCCCTAACCTACTCTCTTGACTCTATCAGGGTTTATCACACCTTCATTGGGCCAATCTCCATGCCTAAAGGAGAAAATTTATGCCTGATAACCCTGCGTTACCCCCCAGGGAGAGAAAGAGGCAACACACAATGGGGAAGGAGGCAGGGGGAAGTGCATCGTCATCTATTAGCATGACTAAGGCAGAAAATAAGCTAATTACAGGGGGAACGCAAGGGTGGGGGCCTGTTACACACGCAATGACTAAATTGATCAGCATTACATAAAAGCTAGCCGCTCCTCAATGGGGATTTTATACTCTGACGAAGTCGCTAGGGGCCGACGAAAGCTTAGCACAAGTTTTAAAATAAAATTTTTTAAACTTTTAAACGTTCCGGAGATCATGATGTCTATCGCCTCTTCTATAACTATACCTGGAACTCGCATCTTTAGGACAATTCTTTACATATATATATATACTGAAGATTAACAGCACTGTGAAGGTATCCTGTCCAGTGAAGGTCACAAGAAAGAAGAAAAGCCAACAAGTATATATATATATATTTGAGTGGCAATGTCATACCATTTTGATCACATTGCCAAACTTTTTAGGAACATAGCAGTGTTCATCATACTGGGGATATGAGGAAGATAAATAAGGCAGCTTTCTCTCCTCTTCATCGTATGCTTGGTTACATAACATTTTTTAAAAAATACACAAGAAAGTCTGTTGGCAGTCAGTGAACAAGAGGGAAGGCCAGCTCTCAGAGGAAATAAAGACAAATGCTCCTCAGGATGGAGAAAGAAGATAACTAACTTCAGTTCACTTCCTGGGGACCATATGCTACAGTGAATGCCACTAATTAAAAATGCTATCTGGTTTAACATGTCATGTTGAGACTTTTCAGGTTCACTCATGCTCCAAAATGAATCACTGAATCAAAATGACCATTATAAAATTGCAGTTTTCAGTATCTCTTTCTTCCCATGTGGTGGCCAGTTGGATTATTAATATGGATAGAATTTATTGTAACTCTTAAAATTTAATGTATTATTTATATTTAACATAACCATACGATAAATACTGCTCCTGATATAAAATGTAGCTTGAATGTTAATAATGACCTGCATTTTTCAAATATAGTAAGAATTTCAGTCATTCAAAACCAATTAAAGAAATTTTGTATGCTCCTTGCAATTTTCTTGTTTATTCATCATTTTAAAATATTTTTCTACTTTATTCTCTGTAAATGCCATAGCCTGCTTTGCTATCCCCCTTAAATAAATATATGTTTAAGTGCCCTGTGGCATCTCATTTATTATCTTTTCAAATTGAAAAGTTAGATGAAAGCACTGGCACTTTCATATTCTTCATGGAATATATGCTGAATGAACACATATTTCAGAAAGAAACATTTAAATAATAATTATTCATATTCATATACCATCCAAGTTCATTATCTTAGTTTTTCATGGGTTCAGTTATTTGAAATAAATTTAATAAAAAAAATTGTTGATTTCATACATAAAAGAAATAATAATAATAATAAAAAGATTTCTAAAATTCTGTCCCTTCTAAACTTGTAGATTTACAGCACCAGAAAGTTTCCATTTCAATGTTGTTTTGTTTCAGTTTTTAGCTGCATCATTTTCAGTTTACAATTGAACTAACAAACAACATAAGGGAATGGAAAAACTTGATCTACTTTGTGTACTAAAACTGCTGCTGCAAATAAAAGCTGCTTTTTTTTTTTTTGGTTCTTGGATAATTCTAACTATCTTTGCCATTAAAGTGTCAATTCTTTTTATAGCTGTTTCCATACGCGATATGATTAGATTGCCACTTTAACAGTAACTAATCCTGGCGAGGCACTCAATTCTAATCACATTATAGCTATGCTGCCTCTATTAGCACCCAAGTTCTTACACATTTAATGAAATTGAGTGCGTTTCTGATAACAGGAGCTTATTTGCCCATAAAATCATATGGTTTATTGGTATTTTTCCCTGAAATAATTTTTTGCTTTAGTTTGTTACTCTTAAGAATCCTTATTCTTGTCTCTGTTTTGACTGCATATAAAGAAGTGTGATTGCAATGCATCCTGGCGATTTGAACGAGGAAGTATCTCATTCAAGCCTCACTAGCAATTCAACATTATTTTGATGTCTTTTGAGTCGCATAGTTTGAACTAGACAACCATACAAATGTATAAACAAACAAACACACTCTTCCTAGAGCCTCCACTTTGGATTTTACTAGAGGCAATTGTAATCAGAACTACTTTATTGGAACTAACTTATATAGTATAGTCTCAGACAATTTCATTTGTTTCTCAATAATTATTCCCTCTTCCTTGCCAGAAGTTGTCATCTTCTTCATCAAGCCAAAGCTAAGAAGTTTGCTGCTCCTCATTCTGCACTGTGAACTTTTACAGATAGTACTCAATTTACAGTAATTCATTTAGTGACCATTTGAAGCAGAGGTCTAGCAGGTTCTGGAGAACTGGTAGCAGAAATTTTGAGTAATTTGGAGAACTGGCAAATACCACCTCTGTCTGGCCCCAGAGTGGGGTGGGAATGGAGATTTTGCAATATCCTTCCCCTGCCCACCCACCAAGCCACTGCCATAGAACTGGTAGGGAAAAAAATTGGATTTCACCCCTGACTTGAAGTTACAACAGCACTGAAAAAAAGTAATTCATGATTGTTTTTCACACTTAAGACCGTTGAAACATCCCCATGGTCAGGTGATCAAAATTCGGAAGCTTGGCAACCGACTCATATTTATGACGTTCATGTAAATCACCTTTTGCAACCTTCTGACAAGCAAAGTCAATGGGAAAGCCGTATTCACTTAACAGCCATGCTTTCAACTTAACAACTGCAATGATTCACTTTACAGCTCTGGCACTCAGCAATGACCACAGCTGAACAATTGTGCACATATGTTGAGGACTACCTGTATTAGCAGAGCTTGGGGGAAAAAAGACTTCATCGTGTCTTCTAATCGATAATTTTCATCTTAGTCAGTTGAGTCATCAGCAGACCAATATGAAATCTCTGCTCTGTGAAATCATTTGCCAATTATTGCAAACATTCAATCAGGTTGATTTTTTGTTTTGGTGTCAAGAGGCAGGCAAGCTGTTGTGGCCCGCCAGCAGCCTGTGTGGATTGTTGTTGATCCCGATGATGAGGAGGCTGGTGTGGTGCTGCACCAGCAGCCTGTGCAGCCGACACTCGAGTGGGACAGCGAGGTGGCTGAAGAAGGTGTGGTGCCAGAGGCAGGGATTCAGTCAGGGCCTTCAAAACCTCCAGAGGCTCCTTTAAGTTTAGAGGATAAAGAGGAGGAGCCTCTTCTCAATGCACGGGCATGCAGAGCTGCCAAAAGGCAGGAGGGGTTCCCCAGGAGGAGGTCTCCTCGAGAGTAAGGCTTGGGGCTAATTGGCCACTCCCTTAGCCTATTTAAGAAAGAACGCAGCTTGCAACAAGCTGCAGGAAACAACTTTAGTTCGCTAATTATCAAGTTTGGATTTCTCTGCAACCTTGCTTCTGGGCTTTCTGCCAACTCCAGTAAGACTCTGACTATCTTATCTGTGGAATTCTGGCAGGCTGTTAAGCATGCTTATTAACAGCTGGCATTTGCTAAAACTGCATTATTTGAGTAAACTAAGTTTTGTTCAGAGTTTGTGTGTGCTGTGTTCTTTGGGATCCATAGCTGTGGCAGAACACAAGCTATGGGTCCCAGCCTAAAATCATATGCTTGATTGAGACAGCATGCTCCTTCTACCTGTAGAGTTATAAGTAAATATCAGGAAAAGGAAAGAAAGATGACTCAAAAAGAGTGGCTACTGGCATCATCTTTGACTGTGCTATCATTTATCTCTTCCTGTAAACATACCTAACACAAAGTTCCCAATGATATCAAGTGTGGATCAGGTGTGGATCCCTGTTTTACATAAAAATGCAAGCGGACCTGGCTTGCATTACAGAAACCTGGTTGGGGCAGGAGGGGGGAGTCCCTCTCTCTGATTTATGCCCCCCAGGCTTTCGTGTGCTGCACTGGCTGCGACTCCAGGGAAGGGGTGGGGGGGTGGCGGTGGTTGTTAGGGAAAGTCTTAGTCCTAGAAAGGCCACTGTCCCTCAGATTGGCAGGTGTGAGTCTCTCCTATTGAAGTGGGATCCTGGAGTCCAGTCAGGCTTGTTGGTCACGTACCTATCTCCCAGCTGCGTGGCCACAGCCCTGCCCGCACTGCTCGATGTGCTGGCCGAAGTAGCAGTTGAACTTCCCAGCCTGTTGTGGGAGATTTCAATTTGCCTTCGATCGGCGAGACATCTGAGACAGTCCGGGAGTTCATGGCCTCCATGGCGGACATGGACCTGACTCAGGTTATTCAGAGCCCAACTCATAGGGGAGGAGACACACTTGACCTGGTTTTTCTCTTTGGGCAGTGGATAAATGGCCAGGGTAAGGGGGAAC